ATTTCTTGCAGTCTCCAATTCTGTATCTATTGTACAAACAAAGATTTCAGCTTGCTTTCTCACTTGATCCTCTTTGTTAAATTCTGTTTCTTTTTCTTTTAATGGGTTCTTATTTTTTTCATGTAACATATCATCATTTTTTCTCTTCAACTCATCTTCTTTTAAGGTATATCTGAAGTTAATATGCATGCCTTTTAATTGATTTTTGCCAAAAACCAAAAATGTCTTTTTATGTTATGGCTCTTTGTATGCTGATTTAGTATCTTAATAAAAATTTTATATTCTCTGAAGCTTTTCTAGTTTAACATTTTAAATTTCTCCTTTAATCTTGTGTAAAACATATGTAATTGAAAGTCAATAATAAAAGATTGTTTTGTTTTTTTATAAGTTTCTGTTACTAGCAAATCTTTTAGATACCACAGAAAAGTAAATTAGAAATGATTTGGTAAATTGAAAAGTTTAAGGTAATTTTTTTTGCACAATCATAGGTCCTCCCCAGTTAAAAAGGTAATTTCATGTCAAATAAGTTTTAAAGTCATTGTTTATATACAAACTTATAAATTCAGTAGTAATATAATTTATCTTCATAAAATATGTCAGGCATACCTATAATTGACTTACAGTATGACAGCATATTCAGACATTCTTTTTTTCAATATGTGTCTTTTGGGGCTGGGGCTGTAGCACAGTGGTAGAGTGTTTGCCTAGCATGAGTAAGGTGCTAGGTTAGATACTTAGCACCACATATTAATAAAATAAAGCTATAAAAAATATGTATCTTTTGTATTACTTTAACCCCGAACTGGGATAAATAATCTAATACCTGTTATTATGCTTTATATGTTTCTTTTATGGTAACACTCTCAACTTACCTTTTTGATCATTATGTATTTTACAAAAAACTCAAAATCCATTTTTGAACAAGATTGGACCTAATATTAATCCAATAATGAAGAGTAATGTTCTTCAACAGATGAAGGGAAAAAAAATATGTGTGTGTGTTCACACACACAATGGAATATAAGACATAACAAAAATAAATTTATGTCAACATATAGTCTACTGTCATGTATACCTAAAAAACATAAAAAGAATATGTCCTTTCAATTTAGAAATATGAACAAATTTATGAATGAGAATGAATTTGAATAAAAAAATTATCTGTTTTCATTTCATTTTTTAATGAATGTAAATGTTAGAAGTGTAGCCTAGTATCTAGCTCAGCACTAGCACATCACACTAGTAACACAAAACCCTGAGTTTGATCCCCAAAATCAGCCTAAAA